ATTGTGATACCTGCTGCCATGTGTCTGTTACCTAGAATTGCTTTTGCTATTCTGGGTCTCTTCTTGTTCCAAATGAACTTTTGGATTGTTTTCTCCAGGTCCGTGAAGTAGGCTGCTGGAATTTCAATTGGGATTGCATTGAATCTATGTAGCAGTTTTGGAAGTATGGCTATTTTCACTATGTTGATTCTTCCTGCTCAGGAGCAATGGATGTCTTTACATTTTCTGATATTCTCTGAAAGCTATAGCACTCTGAAAAGAGATTGAAGTTGTTTGATTTCTTTTGTTAGGTTGATTCCTAGGTCTTTGAGTTTTTTGGATGCTATTGTGAAAGGAATTGTTTGCCTTGTTTCTCTCTCAGTGAGTCTATTGTTCATGTAGAGGAAAGCTATTGATGTTTGTGTGTTGACCTTGTATCCAGCTACTTTACTGAATTTGGTATTAAGTGTAGAAGACATTTGGTGGAGTTCTTGGGGTCTTCTATGTAGAGTATCATGTCATCTGCAAATAATGACAATTTGACTTCTTTATTTCCTATTTTTAGTCCTTTTATTTCTTTCTCTTATCTAATTGCCATGGGTAATGTTTCCAAAACTATATTGAAAAGGAATGGTGATAGTGGACATCTTTGTCTTGTTCCTGATTTTAGTGTGAAGGATTTTAGTTTTTGACTATTTAGTATGATATTGGCTGTTGACTTTTCATAAATGGTTTTATCAGATTGAGGTAGAGACCCTCTATTCCAATTTTTTATAGGGTTTTTATCATAAATGAATGTTAGATTTTGTCAAATGCTTTTTCTGCATTTATTACGATGATCATATGCTTTTTGTCCTTGACTCTATTGATATAGTGTATTACATTGATTTGCATGTGTTGAACCATTCCTGCATCCCTGGGATGAATCCCGCTTGGTCAGGGTGTGTGATCTTCTTGATGATCTTCTGCATTCTGTTTGCCAATATCTTATTAAGGATTTTTGCATCTATGTTCATTAGTGAGATTGGCCTATAGTTCTCTTTTTCGGTTGGGTCTTTCTCTGCTTTGAGGATCAAGGTAATGATTGCTTCCAGGAATGAATTTGGAAGTATTGCTTCCCTTTCAGTTTCATTGAAGAGTTTAAACAGTAGTGGCAGTAGTTCCTCTCTAAATGTCTTGTAGAATTCAGCAGTGAAGCCAT